ACAACGAAGGTAAACCCAGCATGTGGCTCTGCCGTCCGCTTGTTCATTTCCCACATTAATCTTTCACAATAAAGCTGAAGATCTTTTTGAGATTTTTCAAAATAAATGACGACAAACAGAAGAACCAATCAAAACAAATCGTGCATTTTATTCCTAAACGAGGGGCTGACTCTGTAGCACGGACATGGTTTGGGTATGAGAAGTCACCAACACCTCAGACTCAAACGGGACAAACCTCTGCTGCCACCGACACAAGAGTCACGTGACAGAGTGTGCAGAGAGTTTACTGATGAGAAGCAACAAAGAGCCGCCAGGTGCTCCAAATAAACCTCAGACTCAAGCGTTAGAACGGGCTTTTCCCCGCAGCACACCGTGTGATAAATACTGTTACAACTTATGTCTAAAAATGTATCGTTTCATGCATTGAGATTCACAGAATTTACAGAAATTGTAACATTTGTGTGATAAATATGGCTGCCGGGACGATAAATGAGATTTTGGCACTAACATAAGATGTGCTTTTCTTTTTAAAACACTCATATCTGAGAGTTTAAGGTGAATAAGCAGCAGAGCTGAAGGTTTGAACGTCTCCAAAACACAAAGCGACACATTTACTGTGTCACCTGAGCGGGAAGGTGACGATACCACAGAACGAGGACAAATCCTCAGCTCAGAGTTGAATCACAGCTGGGAGTCATATCAGCGTTCGTTTCAAGCTTCTCATTATGTGAGATTTATATTTGAGCTCTTTGGTTTGTTCTGCGTTTGTGTTTTTATGTTACTGAGAAAAGTTGTTCTTCAGGTTTTTTTCAACTTTCGGGATAAATATCAGCAAACATAATAAGCATGTCCGAGACAAAGTGGGAACAAACATGACGGCGGCCCAGGGAGCCGAGCGCGGTAAACTCACTGTCGAAGAACTCGTCGTAGTTGATTCTCTCCACGCAGCACGTGTACATCCGCAGAGCAGCGATCTTGATTTTCTGTGGAAACAAAAACATCACGTCTGACGTCGTCACTCGGTAACCACAACATCGCGCTCACAGCTACAGCTGACAGCGTGGAGTTGCTCTCACCAAACATGAAAGGGGAGTATTTCAATCAGCTGATTCTCGTGATGTCACTGACATTCAGAGATGGAGGAGGGGCTTAGTGATGGCGTTTGAGGGCAGCTGAACATGGTGTAAGTGAAGGAAAACACCAACTTCAGGGCTCTGCTGCGTTGTGGCAAACATCACTCATAGGAAAGGCCTCGGCAGGCGACCCTCCTGCGATGGCGCTGAGACAACACGCTGGCTTCCTGTTGAAGCTGTCAGGGGGCCACGCTGCCCGAGTAACAGCCAATCAGCCTTTACACCCCAGCGGCCACAGTGCAGACACTCGTTCCAGCCTTTCTTTACTCCTCCTCGTCCTGCTGGCTGTTGTGTGGGAGTAATTACACTTCCTGTCTAGTGTAAATGCACCACTACACTTCCATTACCAACATTTGTCAATGGAAACAGGAGGGGGGGGGGTAAAAAATGACATCAAACAGGCAAACTTATTTAGTTTGCCTGGTTCAGCAGCTTTCAGCTGGAAAAGCGACTCGCCCAATGGGCTTCTTTTATCAACAGCGAGCATTTCTGTGGGATTATTCTGGGATCTGTGCGTCTCCGACGGCGGTTTTATCTGTGGAGTAAACACGCGCAGGAGCAGGACACGAGTTCGGAGGTGTGCCAGCGAGCCGAACGCTGCCGGTCCGGCGGGCGGCCCGGCTCTCTGCTCGCCTGACATTCCTCGGCACACACGCAACCTTTCCGCCTTTAGCCAAAACCTCCCACATCACTGAAGCTCCAACTGTTTATTCCTTTAGTGACCTGTGCATTCCTGGAAAACATACCGACTACAAGAGTGTGAATATCACTCCCACTGCAGTGACGTTATTTGTATTTTTGGCCTTCTGCATCTTCCATAACTAATGTTTTATT